TCAAAAAATATTTATATAAAAAATATTTTTCAAATAAAAATCCTTACAAAATAAATTCATGAATTCCACCAAACTATTGAAGAATTTTCATAGGTTTAATTTTTAAATAAATCTACCAAACTATTGGGAAGTTTCATAAATCGATTTTTGCAAAAAATAAAAAATAAAAAATAATTTTTATCCTCTAAAATATTAGAAGATTATTTTTAAGTCCTACCAAATTATTGGGAGATTTTATTTTTTTTTAAATAAAATATGTTAATAAATTCGACGACGAAGCCTCTTTAGAATGTAATACTAATATCTATGAATACTCCTGAGGTGAGAAGATTATCTTAAATTACTACTAAACTATTAAGATAATTTTAAGATTGATTTTTAATATTAAATTAATTCGATGTCTGACTTTAAACATGAAATGGTAAAAGTTATTATGTCCCAAACTCGACGAGTTCCAACACCCTAAATGCTTCAAGCTTCTTAAATAGTCTAAGGTTAAATTGTAATTATACAAAGAGGACTAAGAACAAGACAAAAAGAAGTGGAGACGATTCGACCATTTTAGCAACTAAAAACACCTAATAGAAAATCTTAGCTCCATTTTCACTCTCGAACCTTAACCAGAAAAGCAACCTCTAGCCATCTTCTAGCTAACCATTTGGCCATCACAAAAAAAAAAAAACCCATCAATTCCCCACCAACATCCACCATACCCAAAACACACTGTTGCCCACCTCTTGCCCACACCTCAAATTGAAAATTTTATAAACATCTTAATTGATAATTTTAAAAGATTCTTTCCCCATTCTTGAACCTTAAAAAACCAAATGGCTAATACAACAATCGTAAAAGCTGAAATGCATTTATTTCCCTAAACCCATCAACCCATTCACTTTACATTTTGGTTTTTTCATCTCTCTCATCCCCGTAGATCGTGAACCACTTAACGCCGTCGCACATAATTTTTACTTGGTATGTGCAAATTTAATCTTTTTTGTACAATGTTTATTCATTTATTTATGTCATTTTTTCTTCCTTGCTATATATATTTATATATTTATTTATATAAGCATTTACTATTGTCACCAATGTTGCACACCCTCTTTGCATTGCATGCGTAGTATTTTCTTTGTTATTTAGTTGGAGTATTGTGGTTTACTGAACGGTTTTATGAAACTCTTATGATATGAAGAAACACAATATAGCTTGTACCTTATATAATATTATTGGTTTTATTCTATGTAATGTATATTGGTGTATTTACTGTATTGGATATTAGTTGTTTTTACTGTGTAGGATATATAGAAAAAAAATTTGGTGTGTTTCATATAATTTTGATAAAAATTGTAGGTATTATGGTATTCGAATAACATATGTTTCCTTCTACTGAACATGTAGAAGACATACTCACTGTGAAAAAAAAAATTAAGGGTACGTGGTAAAAAATTAGAATGAGTGGAATGAAAATTCACGTGGAGTTCAATTAAGATGGGCAACCTATGTTAGGTGGAGGTGCAAGGCTAGCTAGCCACATTAGAGTTGTTATTCGGCATAGTATATCTATTATGTACTCTTAGTTGGCGGATGGTTTTTGATGATAAAAAAGACAATATATGGGGTTCAATTATGGTATGTTTGTTCAACAATATCCAAATTTTTGTTAATTGTTAATTGAATTGAATTACTGTGTTGATTTTATTTGATTTATTCATTTTTTTAGGAACTGTTAGATGTCCCTTTCGAGTATAAAAACTTTGTGTTGCAATCGGCTAGAAAAGCATTCAAAGATTTTAAGAACAGATTGACAACCCATATATTTTACCGTTTGCTGATAATTTTGAATTGTTGGCTGATCTTCTAATGATATTTGTAGATGTTATTAGTTATGAAGACTAGTAGCAGTTTGTTTGGGATCATGTATTAGATGAATTCTTGGTATGCGTACTCAGTTTGTTAATTGTTTATAATATTTTGTTTAATATGGTATTATAATATGTGATTTATCTTTTTTTTTTTTCAAAAAATCAAATAGCAACAAAAGAATATCCGGACCTAACAATTAATCACCATCGAACATTAAAAAAGGGTTATACAAATATCAAACATGGTCTTATAAGTATCCAAACACTTGTTTTATACTCGTATATGAATATTTATGAACATGTAAATGGAAATGTGAAACTTATAATGATTTTTTTTTTTTTAAGAATCATCTAATTTTGGAATTGAAGTTTTTAGATGGAAAGTTTGAAAAAAAGGACACATACGCAAAAATGGATCGTTTCTTTGAAAAGCCTTAATTGATGATTAATTAAGGCATTTGATGAAGGAAATGCCCTAATTGATCATCAATTAAGGCATTCTTAATTGATTATTTGTCAATTAAGGCGTTTTAAGGAAGAAATGTCTTAATTGTAATATAAATTAAAAAGAAATTTATATTGTTTATTAAAAACCTATAACTAAATTCCAGTTATTGTCAGACTTACTTTTCAAAAGGGTAATGGTTTTGTGATCAATTTTTTATTCAGGTTAAATTTAAAAATAACTTAACTTTTTTTTCTCAAAATCTTAGAATACCACAGGGAGAGGTGGGTTTTTGATTTCGAGATTTTGAATACTGTTGGGAATATGATATTTTTTCATATAATCGGATTATCCTAAACCAAACGTGATAAACAAATACCTATTATTAAGATTTCGAAAGAAAATTTGTGGATCCTCCCAAACCAAATGTACTCTAAGAATATAGGGTTGCAACAAAATATTCTCAATTTAAAACTAATTACAATTTCTGATCTCTTTTTATTTTCTATTATTTAGTGTAAATATTTTTCCTAGAGCTGATTTTATTATTTTTTAATGATTTGATTGTAGCACATCTATAAATATGATAGAATATAATAGAAAGTAGTCTCTAAAATTGATACAGTCTCAATTTAATAACGTTGTCATCCTTTGTATTAGTTAAAAGTGAAATTATTTTTTATTTTAAAATTAGTCCAAAAATATTCTTTGTTTAAATGGTTTAACGTGAGAATATGACTTTGACAGTAGATAAAGGATCATCTTAGAAAAGTCTGAATTTTGTATTAAGTAAAAATACAATTAAGTGATCTCATCTAACTTGAATTATTGTAGCCGTTGATAAGACATGCATTTGGGTTTACATCGACATGTATGAATAAAGAGGGTTGTTTGTTGCTGAAATGTACCAGTATTTGTGGGCACTGATCTCCAATTTCTAGAACCATGTTCTTGCATGTAAGATACCAGAATGATGTCTTCTTCAAGGGTTCATGTAATTTTTTCCATAATCAATTTTATCACAGTAAGAGATAGCCTAACTTTCAAGCTAATTTCACGACATTTGCTTTTTTATCCTTTTTCTTTTCTCTTTCTTGGCTTTCAGTTACAGAGCTTTCGGATAATGTCAAAAGCATGTGAGTGTATTTATAAAGGAGGAGCCCTAAGAGGATAGAAGCAACTTTTTTACCCTAATTTGATTTACTTTGCTGACTCATTAACCACTATTATGAAGTCCACCCATAAGAGAACCAAAGTAAGAAAGAGAGAAGTTGTCAATGAAGCATTGACTCGTGGTAAGGAGGTCCTAGAATTTTAAGGTTCTATGTTTACATCTCACTGTGTGTGAGTCTGATTATTTGGTTAAGTTATAGTTTATTAGTTGATTATTCAGTTATGTAATAGTTAATTATATGAATATTAAACTTGATTATGAGTGTAACTTAAAAAAAATAAAAGTTAAGAAAGGGAGAAGTTGGATGGTACTACTATACTCTATTATCTTCAATCTGGCCTTTTTCATTTTGTCTCGTATATTTCAGTAGCTCATCATCAAAGTTTAAGCAAAAAAAGTTAACACTATTAGATCTTAAATTTTTATATGTCATCTCCATTTCTTTCAGACCTCCAAATTGTCGTACACAAAAACAATTATGCTTCTTCTGCAAATCTACTTATTGTTTTCAATTGTTTCTTAGATCTGTTTATACGTTCGGTGTAAACTTTTCTGCTCAAGTAATGTATTATGAAACAATTTCATGCTTTCTCGGCTTAGAGATATTCTACTATGAGGAATAGTATGATCAGACACATAGCGCAACAAACTTAAAGCAAGCACCAAGGTATGAGGCTAATATTAGACATTCGCATGGAATATTATTCTTGTGTCTAAAAATCTTTTATATTACTATTTTTCCCACTTCTATAATGAAGTTTCATACTTTATACAAATTAAAAGCCTATACTAGAGTATAAGGAAAATAAAGGCCTACATATTAGCTATCAGTTGATCTGTTGATAGAGTATTGAACTTTTAATTTCAATAATTAAGATTTAATTCATGACAATTTTACGACAAAAAGGCTTATTAGCTTTCTAAAACCAATAAAATCTAAAATGATAATAACAATTAACAAGAAAAACAAGACATTATTCTCCTCCTTAAGCATAATACTCTATGCTTTTCCAAATAAATTTTTAGGCAATTTTTGATTTTTTAATTTATACATCTCTGCTATAAGATATAATAATCTTAATGATGAAAATCATAAAATGAATCATTTTTTAAATTTAGTATTTGTACTGATTAAGTAGCCTAACTATACTATTAAAATTCAGTTCCCAAAATTATAGCAAAAATTGACCACTTAATATCAGTTGAATTTTACATGTCCATTATGTAAATATGAAGAATTTAAATTCAAAATTACTTTAATTGCAAATATGAACTTAGATTTTGTTTGGATTAATTTAAAGTATTCGATCTGAAGAATTATTCATTAATTGGTTGGTAATAATTGTTGAATGAACAGATAAAAAAAATGAAAAAAAAAGATAAGATAAAATATTTGAGATTGGAGACAAATCTAGGCTTTTCTTATGTTCTTTTTCTCATATGACTCACTCTCGCAATAACTAAAAATCCAAATTATTGTCTAGCATTATATTATTGTATAATCAAGATTGACAAGCTGCTAGAACCTATCAATTATTCTCATTGCTGCATCAGAAAGTTCTTCATAAACCCTCATTTTATAGAGGATATTAGAAGCTACCCTTAATTTCATGCTTACAACATATTTCCTGCAAATAATCTCTTCCTCAAGAGCTGTTCTCACATAATGATTAGTTTTATCATAATTCTTACTCTTCAACTGATTTGTAGCTGTAGATAGATCATGCTTCGCTTCGAAAAACCCTTTCTTACAATCTTGGAATAGAGATTTTAAGTTCTTGTCTTGGACACTTGAAGCTAAACTTGACATGTTATTTTCTTGGGTTTCAGCATTGTTGCTAAGACAATTTATAATTATGGTAGCAATCCCTACTTTATCGGCTGCTTCTCCTCCTGGATCGGATTTTAGGCATTGGATACAGGCTGCTGGCACCTCTGCATTGTGGCATTGTACTTCAATCAGCTTCTCATCGGAAAAAACAAGTTGGAAAGAGGCAAAAAGTAGAAGAATGAGATGGTGGACAAGAAGAACTAGCATGGATGCTCTGAATGAACCCATAACCCTTTTTTTTTTTTTTAATTTTCCTTCCTAGGCTAAGATTAATTTAAGTTGATTGAAGCAATTCTTAATATTATATATATATATATATATTTACCTGAAGCTTGAAAAACGCTTAACAAATCATTTATTAGAATTTAGCAGGTTCAAAAGGTTGGTAATTTATGTGGGCCTGCATCAAATAGTTGTTAGAATTGCCATAGAAAGTGATTGGTCTAAATTGCAGTTACTCTTCAATTCACGCTCTTTTCATGGAAAAAAGGTGAAAGTTCAATCAGATTCCATAAGCAGTAATAATTGTTGGAATTAGTTTCATTTCGTCTACATTCACGGTGCTTGATTTTCTTTACTTTTGAGTGAGAAAGCCTTGGCATGTAGAATTAATCGGCTTTTAGTCCTATTTAATATTCGGACCAAGCCTTGTGTAAACATTCCATGGGTATGTTAGATAATTATTTCTTATGTTTTATATTCTTTAAATTAATTCTTTAAACTTTAAAGTATTAGATTAAAATAACAAAAAATCCCCCTCAATTTTATTATTTTATTATAAATTATTATATTTTTATTGCACATAAATAAATCTTTCACATTTCATTTATACCCAATTAGTCTTTAACTTTTAATTTGTACCTAAATAAATTTTTAATCTTTAATTTGTATTAAAATAAACCCTTAACATAATCAATCAATGTTTGAAATAAATATTTATTTGGATATAAATTAAAGGATAATGATTTATTTGAACTCAAAATTTAGTTTAATTAGTTCATAGAATCATCACTCTTAAAAAATAGTAAAATTTATGTATCAGTAATCTATTGTACTATTATTAAATTATAGCCTCTTTTGCATAAAAAAATTATAAAAAGATAAAAATTTATTTAAATATATGATAAAAATATATTAGTAAGAAAAATAAAATAGTTCAAGAGATATTTAGAAAAAAAAAGTATTATTAAAAGAAGGCAGAAAAGAAAGAAATTTGGCATTGAGGATACGAGATGTTAATTGAGTCGGTGAAGGCTAACATCGTCTTTTCAAGCTTTTGTCTTCATTCTCGAGTCTCACTCGACGATGGCCCCCTTTTACAACCAAGAATCTATCAAGCCACTTCATTTTCTTGCAAATTCCATTGTCGTCTTTTTTTTTTATCTTTCATTTTCAAATTCTTCCCACTTTGCTTCTTTCTTACTTTACGCATTGAAGAATTCAACTAAAGTAATTTCTTTCTCTCTATCTCTTTTGTATTTCATATGCTTGGTAAATTTTCTATTGTGAGTCTGAATTTTAGATCTTCAGTTTGCATTGAGATTTATTAAATTCATGAATTGTTTTATTTTTGTATTTGATTTCTCTTTTCTTGAAATATGATTATTGAACATTTGGTTGTGGTTTTTGAATCTTTAAATAAAGGCTTTGTATATTTGATACAATCTTTTTTTAATGAAAAATGGTCATTAAATTATTCTTTATTCAATTAACTAAAAAGGGTTTTTTTTTTTTTTTTTTGTAATTTACAAAATTTTAGCTTTTAAATGTATATAATGTCAATAATATCAATCATAACAACAAATCATAGTTGTTCCTTTTTCTAAATTAATTTTAGTATTTACATCAAGTAGTCGTATATAAACGGTAAATTTACATCATTTAAACTTTGAATGGTACGTTAATTAATATATTTATTAAAATATTTATCTAAATATAATTCAAAATTTATACCTTTTTTGTTTTGAAATATTCAAAATTTATACTTAATTGTTAATTAGAATAATTAACGAAGTGAAAAATTAAATATGAAGCAGCCAAATCAATTAAAATCATAAGTCTTAAGTTTAACAATTGAATTCATAAAATTTTCATTGCAATAAATTCTTTTTTATTGATACTCTAATCCTTTTCTTTTCTGCCTATTAAACGAAGTATTTATGTTGGAATTCAACAAAAAGAAAGAAGAAAAGTTAATAAAAACAAGGAAGAAAAATAAAATAGACGCATAATGTTAAAATAAAAAAAAATATGGTGTGGATACCATATATGGTGATGAAATTCCACTTTTAATGTACAAAAGAAAAAAAATGCACGCATTTTAACTTGAATGATTAGATTACTTCGCGATTCATGACTTTCAAAGTTCAAAATCATATATATTTTTTTATCTTTCCCTTTTGTTAAACGTGAGTTATGGTTAATGTTTATGTCGTGTTTCGGGTTTTGAGTATTCATTTGAACGAAAATAATTTACTTTATTATGATATATACGTATATATATATATATATATATATATAATGTAGGTGGTATAAGTGTTTTATGATTATAAGGGTATCATTATGTTTTAGCGTAAGAAAGTGACTCACCACTGGTTCGAGGCCATTTTGGCCATTCGGTCCAAGCTTATGTGGAAGTCAACTTTATTCCTTCGAATCTACATTAGCTCGGTCAACATTGCATCCTACTTAATAGTAGTGTTGGCAACGAGTCGGGATGAGACGAATTTTTATTCATCTCGAATTCGATTTAATTTTATAAACATAAAATTTATATTTGTATTTGATTTAAAATTTTTTTTTTTATACTCGAACTTGACATTATATAAATCGTATTCGATCGGAAATTAATAAAATATTATTTTTTAAAATATAAAATATTATTTTTAAATATAAATATATAAATATATATAAATAAAAAATTTAAAAATAATTTTTTATATAATATCAGGTTGGGTTTGCCTAGAATCCAAACTCGACTCGATCCGACCCTGATTTCTTCTTAATAATAATTGATCCGATCCGAAATTTGATTTAAAAAAAAAAAAATTTATCCTATAAAATCGAATCGAATCAAAATCCTGGTTTTGAGTTGAACTGTCAACCTTACTTGATAGCATGTAATCATGTTGACATTTCGTTTTTCCATTGAATGTCTACTTGCCATGTTACGTCAGATTTGTCTCGTAAGCACAAAATCTAGCTTTAAGAGTTTGGATCACGAAGGTCCAAATACCTCTTCCTTCAGGTATAAATACTCACAGTCCTCCGAAGGGAAATTAATTCTCAACACTCTAGCTCCCTAGATTTTTCCATCTTTCTTTCTTTTTTTAAGCACTGAAAGTGCCGAAACACATATGCTAGAACATCTCTGACCTTTGTCCTTAATCGATTTTTGATCTCCTGTGATTTCATATCTTTATGCTCTAGATTGAGCACGACACCAACATTTTAGCACGTCAGGTATGGGTACATCATTTGGCTGAGCTCATTATGCCTCTGAAAAAAAAGGTTGCTAAAGAGGGAGATCATCCCATTATGTCAAAAGCTGATACTTAACTCTGTAAGCCCAACCAATTCTGATCTACGCAAGCTGCACCCACATTAAAATAATTTGAACATCTGACCTAACAGCTACAATCTTTCGAAAAAGTAATCCAAAACATAACACCTTCATAAACTTCTAAGTAATCAATAGTGACAACTCAAAGAAATTTTTAGACCTAAAATTGTTGACCTATGAAGATAATGAAGTTGGCTCCATGGCCTTAGATGAAGATGAAACTTTGAAAAGTTACTACCCAACTAACTCCAAAACCCAAACCACCTAAAAGTTCAAGCAAGACATTTTGAAACACGTAGCTAATAAAGACTTAGGAGCTTGGATAGAAGCAATGAAAAATAAGCTCGAGAACAAGACTTTGGCATTTGATGATGTGCTAAAATTCCTAGAAACCTCACCATTCACCAAGGACATAGACCGTACTCTTCCATCTAAAAGCTTTAAAATGCATACTATTGAAATTTATGATGGCATTATTAATCTTTCTTTTTTTTATCATCTTGAACTTTTCAAGATGCACATGTTGATATAAGGAGCTGACGAACCATTGACGCTCAAAAGGTTTGCTATAATGCTCAGTGAAGCAACTCAGTCTGGGTACATCGGTCTAGAGTACAAGTTGATCTCCTTTTTTAAATAGCTTGGTCATTCATTTTTGACACACTTTATAAGCAGCTGCTAAACAAAAAAGACTATTTTAAGTGTGATATCAATTAGCCAAGGGCATAAAAAATCTCTAAAAGCATACGTTATCCATTTTAATGCAGAAGTTTTCAAGTCAATGAGTTAGTGTAAGTTGTAGTTGTGGCCGCCATAAAAAATAGGCTTGATGACGAGGGATAACATTTCAAGCCTGCTTTCTCTCTGGAATCCCTAAAAACCTTGGCTAGCCTACTTTTAATAGTAGAAAAATATATCAAAGCTGAAGCTACAATGATAGATAGCTAAAGTGAGAGAGGAATAGCCTTTCATCTTGGTAAAAAAAGGGCATAGAGATCGAAAATTTTCCAAGAGAGAAAAAATCTACTAAAGTGTACTTTATGTCGAGGAGCAGGAGATATGATAACTACACCATACTAAATATCTCTTAAGATAGGATTCTAATGTAAATAGAAAATGACCCCTTAACTTAGATGACCTAAGCCATAGGGGCAGAGTAGCATAAGGATCCGACTAAAAGATGTGTTTTCTATAGAGACCACGGCCACAATATTGAAGACTACATCAACTTGATGAAGGAAATTGAGAATTTAATCAGAAGAGGTTGGTTTAACAGGTTTGCGGAGAATAGAAAATCAAGGCAACACAAAGGGAATTTTGAAAAAAGAAAACAGGCAAGAAGGAACTAAGTGAACATAATAGCAGGCGATGATTTAAGTAATACTGATTATAAGACTAGTAAGATAGACGAACAAAGAGACTAGAAAAAAAATGGACCCATTGTTGGGACAATCAATGTGATTACTGGTGAGACCTTGGCAAATGGCATAAATGGGTTTTTTATTTGTTGTTTTTCAAAAAAAAAAAAAATTATCTTGGTGCCTAGTTCCTTTTAAGGACGTGTTGATTTTTTAAGGGCTTTTGTGTGGCTTTCAAGTTGTGAGTCTTTGGCAGTTGGCGGTGGTTTGCTGGGGGTAGTAAGCTATCAATGGTGGTTTGAGTGACGGTTTGGTGACTTTTTTAAAATGTTCTTTGTTGGTGGTTTTGGTTATGAGCTTGGAATCGACGACGAAGAGGAGACTAGGTGGTGGTGGCTGTTTAATGGCATAATAGGTTTGGCAAAATTTTGTTAATTAGAGGATTTAGTAGCATATATTATTGGGTGTAGATTTTCTATTAAAAATTTTCCTACCTTTTTGCTTGCAATTGACAGGTTTAATTTACGGAATCATTGGAACTCTCAAATCCCATATATATTTGGGATTGAGGAAGAATTTTAGGCATTATCAATGATTTGGGGCATCAATGAAGAAATTTGGCTCCATAATTTTTGCAACAATGATTAGTTGGTGCCAAAGTGTTGGTAGTGCATTAAATGCCCAAAGACTAAAAAGGGAAATAAAGAGAGAAAAAGAAAAGAAAAGAAAAAAATAAAAAAAAAATTAAATTTTTTAAAATTTCTTTGGCTGAATTATTTTTTTATTTTTTTTAAAGTTTGGTGACATTGGGTTTAAAGTATGATTCGGGCCTCGTAATAGATTTGGATTTCTAAATATGGAATATAGACATGGACTACTTTTACATTGACTTAAAATGAAATCTAATTGAATTCAATATAAAAATAATTAGGTTAAACACATATTTGGGCTATGAACTTTATATTTTCTGTAATATTGGTACTTAAAAAACTATAACAATGACATTGATATCTGAATTTTCAATCTATTATTACGTTAATACTTTGGACCAATACCATTAGTCAATTTTATTAATGTGACATAAAAATCCAATAAGATTCAAATACGTGTCAAAAAATCTAGTTAACGTCATATCATTAATGTTACGTCATCCTTAAAAGAAAAATTTTTTAAAATTCTAAAATATTTTTGAAAATTCTAAAAAATTTTAAAATTCTAATTTTTTTAAAAAATTATAAAAAATTAAAAAAATTTAAAAAAACTCTAAAAAATTCTAAAATTTTTTCAAAAATCTAAAAAATTACAAAAGTTCTAAAATAATTAAAAAATTTTAGAAAGTTAAAAAAAATTCAAAACAAAATTCTAAAAATTCTAAAAATGTTTTTAAAATTCTAAAAAAATTTTAAAAATAAAACACCCAAAAAATTCTTAGAAATTTTCAAAAATTCTAAAATAATTTTAATAAATTTTTAGAAATTAAAAAAATAAAAAAATTATAAAAAATTTTTAAAAATAAAAAATTTCTAAAAACTTTTAATGAATTCTAAAAAAATTAAATTAAAACAATTCTAAAAGATTTTAAAAAAATTCTAAAAGAATTAATGCAACTTAAAAATTATCAAAAAAATTTTAAAATTAAAAAAATTAAAAATTTTTATAAAAATAAAAATACAAAAAAGAAAATTTTAATAAATATAAATTTTTCTTAAAATTCAAAAAAAATTCACAAAAACTAATAAATAGTTAAAATAAAAAATCAAAAGTGTTTTTGAAAAAATATAAAAGTTTTTAAAAAATTATAAAAAGTTTTAAAAGATTCTAAAATTTTTGTATTTTTTTCTAAACTTACAATTTTAACCCTTATATATTTTTTGAATTTGTTAAAAATTTTTTGAAATTTTTTGGATTTTTATTAAAATTTTAATTAATTTTGGTTTTTTATTTTAAAAATTTTTTAATGCTAAAGTATATTTGAAAATTTGAAAATTATTTAATTTTTCAAAAAAATTTAGATTTTTTAATTTCAATTTTTTAAGTTTTTGTGATATTTTTAAACTTAAAGAGAATTTAATTTTTTATTTTTTATTAAAAATTTCAAAATTTTTTTAATTCTTCAAATCATGATACTTTCTATAATATAAAAAATATATCATATTTTTAATTTTTTAATAAAATTTTAAAATATTTTTTAGAAATTTTAAAAATTTTAGAATTTTATGGAATTGTTTTAATTTTTTAAAATCTTTTAAAATCTTTTAAAATTTTGAAATAATTTTTAAAATTAAAAAAAATTTTTTACAAGATTTAAAAATTATTTAGAATTTTTAAAATTTTTTAGAATTGTTTTGAATTTTTTTGAAATTTTCTAAAATTTTTTGAGGCTTTTAAAATTGTTTAGAAATTTTAAAATTTTTTTGATTTTTTAGAAAGTTTTGAAAAAGTTTTTTAGAATTAAAAAAATTTAATATTTTATAAGAATTTTTTTAATTTTAATTTTTTAAAAAATTTCTACAATTTTTTAAAGAATTTTTTAAAATTTTATAAAATTTTTTAAAATTTTTTTCTTATGCTAATATGATATTAATAATATGATGCTAACTGAAAATTTTAACATATATTAATATTTTATTAAATATTTTTATCGTGTCAATGTAGTTGAGTAATGACATAAGTCTTAAATATCAATATGATAGCAGAATAAAAATTCAAATATCAATATAGTTGTTATTATTTTTTAAATATCAATATAACAAAAAATATAAAATTTAAGAGTTTAATATGTATATAACTCAAATTAATTCGATAACCTTAATAAATATTTAAAAATACCGAATAAGATCGAAAATAGATTTAAATTTATTTAATATTCCAATTTTTTGCATAAAATAGGTGTCTATGCAAGGTTTAGGATGGTTAAGTTGCAGGGGAAGAGAAGAGATGATGGGTGGTTGGCAGCGTGATTCCTGCTGCGCAGTCGCTCTCTGTTACAGGCTTTCGTTGCTAAAAAAAATCAAAAATGAATTTTCAATGTTCGATTTTTTTCTTTTTAAGTTTTGGGCTTTCAAACCCAATTGCCTTAGACTTTGGGCTTTCAACAACAAATTAGACGAAAATGAACTCATGCAATCAAACCCACTAAGCCCAAATGACCCAACTTAAAAAGAAAAATCAATCGGGTTGTTCAAATGAATTTAAATTGAATATGTTAAAATAAAAACAATATTATTCCGTACAAAACAAATCTTTACAAATAAAATATCCAATACTGTACCTGAATAGTTGGCTCAGGTTCATGCATCTTTTGCTCAAATAGTAATGTTGAAATCTCCTTTTTCTAGTCTAAAAAGTTTCCCCATCCACTAGTCAGTTTTATTACCACGCTACCCGGCATGTGGTCATTGTTTTTCAAAGAAATTAATTCTCGTCTTTAAACGGTGTGTCATGTTTATAGTTTCATAATCCAGCAAAAACTGAGGTTTCAATTGATGACGGCGACGGAAGACTTCATTCAACTCCTGCATATTTAAAAAACAATTTTTTTTATATAAATCTTTGGACTACTAATACTGGAAAGTTTACTGTCTGCTAAGCTTTATTAAAACTTAAAATGTCTTCCTTTTGGAATGAATATTTCAACTTCGATTACCGCACACCTCCAACTACCTTACTCAAGACACTCTATAAATATCTTAATCTTTTCCAGCCTTTTGTAACCCATATATCTCATGTTTGTTTCATCTCTCTCTCTCTCTCTCTCAGATCGTCTAGTTTCGGTCATGACGATTTACAAACTAGGGAACTACTTTTCTTTTTCTTCAATCGTTTCGCATCTGAAATGGGCTTGGAACTTCTCTCTTCATTACTTTTTGTGTCCTTATCAGATGCCTGAAATGGGTGCTGAAGATTTTAACCTAGGGAGCTGCAATCACTACTACAAGCAAGAGTTGCGTGAGGAAGATGTGGAATGTGCTATTTGTTTATGCAAGATTGATGATGATGATGAGATCAGAGAGCTGAGATGTGACCACCTTTTCCACAAAGTTTGCTTGGATAGATGGATTGGATACCGGCGTTCTACGTGTCCCATTTGTCGCAGTTCTCTAATTCCTCGGAGACTAGTTGCCGGAATGGAAGTCATACTTTTCAATTATTGTTCTTTTGATGATTCTAGCTACCGCGAGACCTGGTGGCTGCGTTAAGAATATATAGTCATTTAGTTGTGGAAAAGGCTGGAACTTTTGATTTCGAAGAAGTTTCAAGCACACCAGCTCATTAAGTCATATGACAGATTATACTTCATTGATGTGGCTTTGTGAATGTTGCTTAATTTGAAGTACTCCAAGAAATGCCAATACAATGAATATTATTATCTACCTTCTTAATGGAGGATTCTTCTTCCTTGTTGAGAATAGCTATATAATAAAGCCAAAGCAGAAGGATTTCCATGGAGATTACTTTATTTAATCTTCTTTTCTTGTTATTTTAAGTTATAACTTGAAGATAATCTTAACCATTCGTAGTTTTTAATGAACTCGATCCTCCTACCTTGACCCCTGCTGAAGTGGATCACATGGTTTCAATGAAACTATTAGCTACAAACTCTTTTTGTTATCTCACCTCTGCTAAGTTTTGAATTGACTGTAATTTTATTCAACTTGAATCTCTCCATCTATTACAATTAATTTTAAGTCGAATGAACTGTATCAAAGTGGCGGTAAAAGATAATCTCATTTTATTTTGGTTAAAGATGTTTTGTGTACATCAATATAAGAGTTTATATTTGATACATTATCGATATATAAATTTTATATACTATTAATGAATTGATGAATATAACTCATTAATGAGGTAAATCAGATAATAATACTTTATTAATAAATAAATTATTTTAATTTTTGTACATTTATTTTAAAGGTTGATATTTACTTATTAATGAATTGTTATCATTTGATAGAATTTTTACATTGACAGTAGACTTGATAATTTATGTTATCATGTTATGTAAGATACTATATTCGTATGGTGTTTTACACGAAAATAACGTATCACAGTTCGTGTAGATACGAAAATATAAAATATAATTTTTTGATTTTATTAAACTTATTTATGATTTTTTAAAAATTTTAAAATGTATTATTTTTGTGCCCTTTATTTGTATCATTTTTATATCTTGTCATCATATTATATTTTATATTTTTAGTTCTAACTGATAGTATATCAAATATAAAATTTAAATATAATAATTATTTATAAATTATTATTTATATATTATCTCCATTCGATAATTAGTCGAACAGTCTCTTTAATGAAAAAAAAAATTAATTACTATTAATTATTAGAGTTTTTTCTTGTAACAGTATATATTCAAATCTTAATTCTCAAAATGATGTACTTCTAATCTTTTTTCTGTAAATAAGGTTTTTTAAATTATCTAACTCCATGTCATCGTCTAGATGGTCAAATTGCCAACATGGCAATTAGTAGCATTTTGTGGTTTTTTTTTTTTTTTTTTTTAATTTCTTCTCCTTTTCCTGTTATACTTTTTCTTCTCTTCCATGCGACCAGCACAATGAAAAAAATTATCAAATATTAGTGTGATAATGCTAGGCTCAAATTTACCCTATTTGCAACATCCAATAAAGTTAACTTCATCAAACCTCACTTTTTTATTTTTCTTTTTCTCCATAAATAACTTATTCATTTCCTTTGGCTTGCCACACTAAACAATTGCAATACTTATCGTTCATGATAGATGAGACCTCTCAGCAAATGATAAGAAAAATAATAAAACTCCTTTAAAATCTCTTATTTTTAGCAATTAGATAATCATTATATTTCAAGTTTTTCAATCACATCTTTTTTGTGGCATTCTATCAAACACTGAACCTTCAATATCCATTTCAAGTTTTCAGCTCACATATCTTTTGATATCTAACAAAGCCATCGTTACTTTTAAGAAAAAAATTACCAACTACTTATGAAATATCAATGTATTATGACAGAATTCATTTAAACAATGAACAAAAGAATTACATCCATTGTAGAGTCACTCCCTTTTTCTTTTTTTTTTTTTTTGGATAAATGAAAATTTTTTATTTCAAAAATTCAAAGAAACAGAGCAAACCTCTGGTAGAAGAAATAACAAACAAAAAAAAAAAGGAGTACAATCAACAATTATTGACTTATTCTCCGGTTATTACAAAGAGTATTGTTTGAATACTTAATGACTATATTAGAATAAAATTGAACAAAAATGAAACCATCGCAGCAACTTATTGAAATACTTCTTCTGGAGTTTGTTTGTATTATTCCTTGAATTTCTCTGCCTCCAAATATAATAGATAGATGCTCTTTATGCAAGTTTGAGTAGAATATAAGTCTATTCAGCAAGTGTTTCAAGGAAAAAATTCAAATGATAATCCAGAATTTCTGAATGTAGGAGAAAATTTTGTTGGGAATGAGAGAAGGATTTTAAATTATTTTATATTGTAACAAAAAGATTAAACAATAATGGCTAATAGAAGTGGTGAGGGAAAGGAAAAGTAAGAAAATGAAAAAAAAAATAGAGCCAACTTCCACGTAAACAACCATGCACATGTAGACTATGACGTGTAGTTGACATGGCTTTTGGTACTCTGTCTAAAGAAAAAAGATTAAAAGTGCCTTCCTTTGGTAATAAAGATTTTAATATACACTGATATAAGAAAAAACTCTTAATTATTAAATATTATGATTTAGTTTGGGCATATATGCAATAAAACTTGCCAAACTTGGGGCATACGAGGTTGCCATTAAATTCAATATCCATCTAATCCCTAATCGAATGAAATAGACATATAAATATATATATATATATATACATGTATATACATGTATTTATTTTGTTAGAAATTGTTGAGAAGAGATCAACCTTTCACTCCAACACGTCTTAAATTATAATCCTGACATAAGTTGTTTGAATTGAAGCTTGGAAATCATTCTCATTTCCAGCATTTAATTATTTAGTAAAATATTACATGCCTGAGTTTTGAAGTTCTTTATGAACTGCGCGGTCAAATAGAAAATATTAGTATGCATGAAGTGCAGATGCGAGTCAAGAGTAAAGAACGGCGTCTGTATTCTTTTTTGTTTAATAGAGACCTGTTTACTTTTCTCAACCTTTTGGGATGGTAGATCTTGTCCGTTTCTGTTTGTTTCCTAATTTGGAAAGTCTAAAAATCAACATTTCATTTATTTATTCCTCGGCATAATAGTGAAATTGCATGCAAAGTCGTCTAAAAGTTGCATTTTCTTTTCATCCTACATCTGAGGACGTCTCATCGAGAAGATAAGATTTGAATCTTAAACTCTATTTCTGGAGTAAATTACATCACATATCCATATAATTTTTGTTTTATATTTCATTTTCATCAAGGGCCTTTTAAAAATATTTCTTTATTCCATTAATGATCATTATAATTTGATAAAATTTATCTCCTTAGAATCACGTGTTAGACGACGACCTGACGAAAAATGGATTTACTTTCGACTTTTTGAGTTAAAATTTAGTATATTATAGGGACATTCACACGGTGTAATTCGATCATTAAAATTTATTGCTGAAAATATTAAAAGCGTTTTGAGCAAAAAATTCTTTCAAGCATCCCTTCTAACTTTTGTTTATGATTTATTAAAGGTGTTTTTGACAAAAATCGTTTTTAATGATTACAACAAAAATTTACTTATTGGATTATAAAAGGCGAGTTCGGCAAAAAATGCTTATAGATTATTAACGATGTCTTTTTGCAAAAAACGCATTCAATATTCTCTTAAAATTTTTTTAAAGTAATTGGTGAAGGCGTTTTTGTCAAGAAAATGCATAAAATAATCAATTATAAATAATCTGTGTAAAAAACAAAAAAAAAAGCTAAAGAGATGGATCGAATCTATAACCTTTTGATAAACATCCGTATGATCCAAATATTTTTATAAGCTTGTGAAATTTTTTGGTCCAATTATTAAAGGCGTTTCTTGTGAAAAACGCCTTCAATAATCTCATACAATTTTTTATGACATGATTATTGAAGGCGTTGACTGCCAAAAATACTCTTTTACTATTCACTAAAATTTTTAATAAAAATGATTTAAGATGTTTTTATCCAGAAACACCATTGATATTAAGTCTTGGTTGGCATTTATAAGTATCAATGCCACTATTTGAAAATTTAGTGACGTTTTGATAATAAACGCCTAAAATTTTATAAAAATAAGAAAATTAGCATCGTTTGTAAGTAAAAGACCGCTATAAAACTATCATTATGCCATTTTCTTGTAGTGTATATTCCTTTAAATTTTTAATGATGATTGATAAAATTGATGAATTTAAAATATTTTTAAAGATTGTTGATGGAAAAAAAAAAAGAGTTTCAAAATTCATTAATGAAGATGAAATATTGTACAAAAGTTTAGAGCAGCCAAATTCTGTGATAATTGTGAACCATGCTGATTGATGGGCAAACAAGTGTAGTCCGAATATGTGGAATAGACTGTTATCTATACCTCTTTAGTGAATGTCGATTTTTTTTCTTTACATAGTTTTTTATTATTTTATTTTCGAACTTGAGGTAGAACTTTACTTTTGGTAGCTTTTAAGCTTTGTAATCTTTTAAGTGTTTTAAAAAAAGTTTTAGCTTAGTGAAAAATAAAAGTTAAATACACATGTAAAAAAATTTTACCTTACGAGTTGAAATTAAAAACAATATATTATTCTAAGTATTCGACTTATTCGAATTTAGGTAAGACTTAAGTGAAGTTGTTTAAATCAAGTTCATAAGGTTTTCAACTACATCGATTAAATAAAAATTAAAATCAATATAATGATAAAATTCAAAATAAAAATCAATAACATGTAAAATTTAATTGAAAAGAACATCTTTGCATAAATATGATAGACATGATGCTTATTAAGAGATGGAAACTTTATTAGAATTTTCAATAAAAGTAGTTATTTAAGTAATTATCAAAATAAATTCAAATTATTTGAAATTTTGTGGGAGTATATTTTATTCATGTAACAAAATATTTTAATTTATCAATTTAAACTTTATTTTATGGCTTTTAACAATAAAAACCTCATGCAATAGATCTAAAGAACCTGACCAAAGTTTTGGCCCTCGAATTTGACCCATCTAACTTTTTTTGTTTTATGAAATTATAAGTACAAAAAAATTTATAATTATAATTAACATTACATCC